TTAGCAAAATATTTTGATTTAAGTTCTAGAACATCGTTCCGCCTCGAAAACAGAACGTCGTACTATCGCGTTCGCAAAAGAAGACAAAGTCATAAATCTAAAAAGAAAAATTATTCCTAAAGTGTTAGAGAGAATATTCAAGTGAATGGCTGCTCCTTGAGAGAGAAAAGTTTCGGTTCGTATTCATTTTATGTGGAGCGTAATTTTCTAGATAGATGCGTCACGCAATGGAGACACAGGCAGGAGATTATAGACAAAAGAGTTCCTCTCTGTAAAGGTCATGCTCCAAAATGCCCTCCATTCTTCTCCTGAACCCCGCCCTACATTCATTTGTTTTTTGTATCCATCATCATTATTATTTAAATCTATATCTCAGACTCTTAAACCTGTATTCCATGCACAAAACAGAATTTCTTTTATTGGAGAAATTCCGTACTTTTTCCCCCAACTCAAAGTTCTTGATGTTCCCATTGCACTGTGGGCCAGAAGACCATGATCTTTGGCCAAAAGTCAAAAATTAAATTTTCAACTGAAATATGTGTAGGCAGTTTTAATATCGCCCAAATTAAGAATTCATAATCATTCCAAACATTATAATTTACTATTTGAACCGACGAGAGTACAATATAATGAAAAATATGTTAATTTTTTTTTTAATGTAACTTTTAAATTTTTATTTCAGAAATATATATGGGAATTTCACCTTACTGTTACATTTTTATCCGAGTAATTAGTCTGAAATTATAGTACAATTTTTCATTTTAGTTAATTCTCTTGACAAACTAATAGTTTATATCTTATCATTTGACATTTCACAATGTTTGACTTTCGAAAATTAGTTCCAAAAAGTTCCACGAGGTAATGTTTCTTTTTTCGAAAAAACCTGCTCCATTTTACCCATATTGCAAAGTTAGACTAAATATACCGAAAAACAAAAATTATGTTTTTTTTCTTCATGTTTTCGCATTATTTTGTAATATTACTTCGAAAATATAATTTGCTTTTCACTTTTAATATAAAATTACAAAAATTATTATATTTTCATTGCTATATTTAATTATTTAAACCTACTATATTTTTATTTTTGCTCGTCATATTTCAACTGCCATTTTTTTTTCTTTTTTGGGTATTTTTAGTGTATTTAAAAATTTCAATTTACTTGCTCATAAAAACCCCTAAATAAAAAACCCCAAATTTTATCGCAATACTAATTTTGGCCACGAAACCTTGGATGCTCGCCCACTGTGCATTGAAGGGATGTTATATGGACAATGTCAACCTTCATCTATCTAAGTGTACCTCAAGATAGAATCAAGTTGACATGTCTTATATACTAGTGAATTGGTATTTAATATTTATAGTGGTAGTTACTCCATGCTACTCTCCTTCCAAAATTTTTCATTATGTGATAGAATTCGATGAACGAACACCTCTAATTGATTTAGGCTGTTTTTTATATATCATTTTTGCTCATTGTATTTTTTCTTCATTTTTTTTAAGTTTATTTATATAATTTCGCTCATTTTTTTTTCCTTCATTTTTTTTTTGTTCATTGGCCGGGAGACTTTTATTTACTTCACCGTTTTTGTTTTTTTTTCTTGAGCACTATATTTTTAAACAAATCAACTGTTTAATGTGAACCATCCATCGATGTTGGCGAGTTCATATCACGACCGCGCCGGCCAGGTGGCCGAGTGGTTAGCGTGCCTGACTGCGAAGCCCCAATGGCTGCGGGTTCGAATCCCGCTCTGGGCATGTTTCTCTCTCTCTGTGTTGTCATCTGATGTGTGAATGTATGGATGTAGTCCACCCTATGAACGGGTATTTGTGGCAGTGTGGCGTGGGTAATGTTGCTTGTATCCGTGACTTTGGTTCACAGGTGCCTACTGGGTAACGATAAAGGAGCAACACTTCCGGCATCTTCTAAGGCGAAGAACGAAAGTTCAGTACCTGCTGTTAATTNTTCGGAAATATAATTTGCTTTTCATTTTTAATATAAAATTACAAAAATTATTATATTTTCATTGCTATATTTAATTATTTAAACCTACTATATTTTTATTTTTGCTCGTCATATTTCAGCCGCCATTTTTTTTTCTTTTTTGGGTATTTTTAGTGTGTTTAAAAATTTCAATTTACCTGCACATAAAACCCCCAAATTTTCAAACAAATTTTATCGAAATACTAATTTTGGCCACGAAACCTTGGATGCTGGCCCACTGTGCATTGAAGGGATCGAATATGGACAATGTCAACCTTCATCTATCAAAATGTACCTCAAGATAGAATCAAGTTAAGATGTCTTATATACTAGTGAATTGGTATTTAATATTTATAGTGGTAGTTACTCCATGCTACTCTCCTTCCAAAATTTTTCATTATGTGATAGAATTCGATGAACGAATACCTCTAATTGATTTAGGCTGTTTTTTTTATATATCATTTTTGCTCTTTGTATTTTTTCTTCATTTTTTTAAAAGTTTATATAATTTCGCTCATATTTTTTTGCTTCATTTTTTGTTTATTGGCTGTGAGACTTTTATTTACTTCACCTGATATTTTTTTTTTGAGCTCTATATTTTTAAGCAAATCAATTGTTTAATGTAGACCATCAATCGTTGTTGGCGAGTTCATATTGCGTCTGCAAGTCACCATTGAGGGGATTTTAATTATTGACTGTGTCTACCTTCATCTATTAGAAGGCACCTCTTGATGGAATCAAGTTAGCATGTCTTATATACTAGTGATTCGGTATTTAATATTTATAGTGGTAGTTACGCCACACCATCAAAACATTTCGATGGTTTATGTTGGTTTCAGTACAATTCATGATGGTCACCATCATCCAACGTTTTCCCTTATGCGTTCATAGTTTTTGATATGACAACAAACTTCCATCATTCCATGATGGAAAATGCTTCTTTAATGCTATGATGTTAATGGCTACAAGAGAAATTCTATCAAGAGAAGTTTGATTCTCACGGACCAACAATCCATGATGGTTCCAACTATACATTTCCATGATGGGTTAAGAAAGTATGTACCATCAAAACAGTTTGTTTTTTATGTTGGCCCATCAAAAATCAGTCCGAATTCCTACATTGGGGGGATGGTTGTTCATGATCGTTTCAAGATTTGATTTCTAAGAAACTATGATAGGAATTTCTGATGGCTGAATATGACCAAACCATCAAAACAAGTTACCATTCTTATCTTGGGCCATCGTAAAAATGTCCTAATTCCTACTTTGGAGTGATGGTTATTTATGTTGTTCACCATCAAGAAATATAATGGATCACGATAGAATTATTGATGGTTACCACCAAAATTATGTTGGTCCATCAATGGAAAACCATCAAAAATTTTGACTTGGGTTCCTCCTTTTCGTTAACACTTTTTTCTTCCTCAAATTTGTTTAAATTTAACTTTCTAAATTATAATAATGAAACTAATAAACAGTAGGTTTTTCTGTAGCCTTAATAATAAAGTGTAAAGTTTGCAAGGTTGTAAGTAAAATATTGCAAGTTTTGTTTTTAAAAAATAAATTTTATTTTATCGGCCCCTTAGTGGACTGATCCTAAAGACACAGTTCCCAGTAGAACACCAAAGTCAAACATCACTGGATACGGTCAGTAAGCGGGTGGGTGACCACTTTGATCAGCCTTCGTAGGGAGCGTGGTATCGGTCCTCGTTCAACTGTTCTACCATTAAGTGCTTGACTTCGCGTGCAAAAATTGCGATGGCATATCTTCGAATCGTCCTCAGGGACGTTTCCCAGACCGTCGCCAATAGCCCATTGTGCAGCTCTAATGCGACGTAAATAAAGTATCTACATCGGTTTCTTGAAATTCTATTTTAGCAATAAAATAGTTGTTAAGCCACTTTTTTTTGAAAGTGTATCGTGATTTTCAATTGCAAGGTTAGTGTATGCTTTTCGCATCTGTGCTATTTTCAAATTTCATTGAAACTTATTTTTCTCCCATCCATATATTGACAATAATATCAGAAGGGCAGATGCGTTAGAAACTCTTCCACATTAAGTGTGCTAGCGCTGCCTTCAGAGTAAGAAGTACCACGCCTCCAACCGGGATTCGAACCAGTTACCTTTCTGACATGAGGTTATCTCCCTGACCATTTCTCCCTACAGCTCGATCGGAAACATTTAAATATGTTATACATGTCGGAAACATATTTTAATTTAAATAAAATGTTTATATTTGAATTTAAATTAACTGACTGTTTATTTTCAGAACAAAATCTGAATTTTAAGCTATTATTGCTTATAATTTTTCAGCCCTTCTATTAATTAAGATTTAAATTTAAGATTAATATGCATTTTATAGAAAAAGTATCTGACACAAAATTGTTATAGTAATTGATAATTAGTTGAACCCAAAATTGGGTCGGCTGTTCAACGATGGTTATAAAATGAAACTATTTGAATCGGAATCAGTTTCGGATAACGGCAAAATTTATGCATATCATCTTGACCATATCTTTCGGAGTTTTCTTTTATTTTATGACCGGTGATCTTTGATTCACAAATTTGGATCAAAAATTTGAAAAAATTCTTTCTCTTGTGGGGGCTTTCTTAATCGAAGTAACTGGTATTTGCAATGCATCGAAGAGAAAGCCTGTGTTTGTTATCCCGACGACAAGGAGATTCTAATCTATGATCCATCGAAGTAAAGCATCACTGACTGCGATCAGTAAGCGGGTGGGTGACCACTTTGATCAGCCTGCGTAGAAACCGAGGCTGTGCGGTATCGGTCCTCGTTCAACTGTTCTAACGTAAAGTGCTCGACTTCGCTCTCAGGTCGTCAGGCTATCAAATCAGGGGAGCCATCCCCTGTGCGGAGGATCACAATTGCGACGTCTTTGGATCATTCCCGAGAGCATCATTCACACCAACAAGTTGTCACCAGGATTCTTATTTTAGGACACCTAAACGGAATGGTGTAAAAATATTATAACCGAGGCTGGATCCAACTTTTTACAAGCCCCAGCATAAAATTTATAGCGAGATCCGTAACTCATAAAATAATAAAAAAAAGCTAAAGTTGGATTCTTAGTCAGCGCGGAGAATTTGGAAAGTGCGGAGGACGACGATGACATTCCTGTACAAGAACTTTAAGGAAAACTGTGGGTACAGCTTAGAGAGAACCACGAAATGAACGATGATGTACTGATTACTGAATTTCTTTTTATTGATTCTGAAGCTGCAACCACACAAACATTAACTGAATTGGATATTTTATACAGTTTAAAAAATAAAAACAATACAGCAATAAATTGTGAGGAATACGAAGAAGACGAAGACGGAAATGATGAAGAAATCACCAAACCTTGATATGATGAAATCATTTGAAAGAATTCGATAGTAGATAATAATTTACACGATAAAGGTGTATCAATTGCTATTTTAATCATGTCTAGTGCTTATGAATTTAAAACCTGTTTTGTGTTGTTTAAGTATTTCAAATGGTAATTTTTGTATTTTAGGAATTTTCCATATAAGGAACTTTTTATCAGGATTTAGCGACTTCGTTCAATAGAGATCCGACTTCATTTATTTTTTATTTCCAGTGAAAAAATAAGTGTAGATTTTCATGCCAAGTTGGCATCATTTGGCAGTCACGATCACGCTCTACTGCGCTTTCAAATCGCCACCCAAAATATAACGTTATAACAAATTGAACACTTCGAAGGTAAGTCGGATTTATTCTTTTATTTCGGGATTTTTTATTTAATGGATTAATGGTTCTATTTTAGGCGATGAAACTTTAAGAAAAACTGCAATTTTTCTAACAGATAACTATGTTTAAATATATTTGATTACTCACAAAACTGAAGATATTTTTGAAACTAACTTACTTGGAATATTCCATGCATTCCAAACGTTCCTATTTTATCAAATAATATTTAAAATGGGGAACTTAAGAAATAACATTTTAAATAATATTCTAATGATGCTTAAAAATAATATTTTGAATAATATTCTAATGATACTTAAAAAATAATATTTTAAATAATATTCTAATGATGCTTAAAAAATAATATTTAAAATGTGTCTTCAATTTTGAAGAAACGAAATACATTTATTAATATTTTCACCTTTAGAACTGTTCTACAGAACAGTATAACAGTGGAACTGTTATACTGTTCTGTTCTAGATCTAACAGTATTTGTTTCTCAATCAATTAGATTTCATGGTTAAAAAAAAATGAAAAGAAGAATTCACAACATCTTGCCATGAAATTGTAGCTTCGTAGTAGAAATTTTAATTTTAAAAAGGGTGAAAATATTTAAATAATGACTCAAATCAAATTACAAAAGTTCTCACTAAATGCAAATTGATATACAATTGTCATAAGTCTTTCTGATAAAAGTTTTTAAAATCTTAATTATAATTGATGGTATTTTAAAAATTGAGGAGGTATCGTAGGCAGCGGTCTAGAAGAGCGATTCCCAAATGATATTCCGCGGAAACCTAGACTTCCGTGGAAGAGGTAAACTAATTGCTGGACTTTTTTTAAAAAAAGTTATTTTATAACCAATGTTGAACAGCCGACCCAATATTTTGTGTTTGCGACTATTAATGTTCAACTCTATAGCCTTGTAATTTTGAACCCAATCTAGAAGACGAGGGAACTCCTGGGTCAAGTATAGGAGGAAATTTGCCTTTGTGGAGAATTTTTCAATGAAACTAACCCGCATTTACGTTACATGGAAAGGAAAACCACGAAAAATCTCCCACGGTTAGCCTGACGTATAGCACAATATTATAATAATATTATAACAATGCAATAATATATATATATATATATATATATAACGAAGGCATTTAAGAAAATAAGTTTTATTTACTGCTCATAAGCAGCAAGTATATAGAGC